GATTGCTCCATGGGTTTGTAAACAATAATGTTGATACAGACAATGCAAACAAAAATGCCCCAAGCTGTAAAACTGTTAACGCGATGCAATAAATAAGAGTATTTGTCGTACAACAGAACGCTGATACACCCACCCATCCATCCACGCGTGCGTACAACGTTCGGATGTTTGCAGAGAAGACGAGTCGAGCGAGGGGGAACGTGTCAACAATGGTGACACCGTAACGACACATCCACAAACTTACCAGTTTACATTTAGTTTAGAAAACACGAGCGTTTCAGATGACACGGACGTCGTGAAACACACTTCTAAAAATGGAAACCGGAATAGCGCTAAATTCGTCGATAACGGTATCACAATTTCTTGTGTAATGAAATAAATCATTCCTGATAAATATTGGTTTAGTAACCTGCCATTTTTTTAAGGAGCGACAGTCGTCGTGCCGCGTCCTGCAGTGTTCGATATGAGACTCATAGCGACGTATACAACGCGTGTAAAATACATTGTTTATTTACCTGAAATTCGAACACGCGCTGCGCGACTACCACCGCGCTTTAATTTTTTATAATTCAAAATACCCATCAAATACAGACAATGTAGAGAAAAACAATGTTTACACATTCCCCGCATGTTCAACTATAGGCAGCACAATTTATGTCAGAAACCCATCAGTCGTCACATGGAGGACAGAACGAACAATAAATTATATGGGACACTCGATGCGTTTGGAATGAAACAGGCATTTCGACAGCCCACCTTGGTTGCAGAATCCTAAAATACAATAAAGCCATGCAAGGCGAGATGGCTAGCATACCGTGGGCAGTAGTGGATAACGTAGGATGTAGGATAGAGTTGCTTCATCGAATCTTTGGTATGACTAAATTTGCATATGTTTTGGGTGGTATTTTCATTAAAAAAACTAAATTGTATCGACCAGATTATCATATTCTCTGCACAAGAAACCCATTTCGATCTTTATAAATATTAAAAATTAAAACTGAAACAAAAGGTTTTTATTGGCTGATGGAATAACATCGGAACATTTTCAGCATGACGTCAATGCGCAGTGCGCTTGTTGATTCGCTGGTTGGATTCAGCTGTTATTGAAATATTTATAAAAATGAAGGAAATGAGTTTGTTGTGCTGAGAGAACATCTGCAAGAAAGGCGGAATGATGGCAAGTGGCATAAAACACAACGTCTCGGTCGTAAAACGGAAATCTGCCCTGCCATTGGTATAATTGGTTTCTCTAAGTGTGATTTAAAGTAATATTTATAAGGTGAAGAAGCAATATAGACGAAAACATATTTTGTTAATATTGTTTTTAGATACTACATATTGTAGACCAAGTCGGATTTTGATTCACCGTACACATTTACCATGTTGCGTCTGTACGACACACGTCAGTATACGGTAAACGGAAAAACAAACAGAAACAACACACCAATACGCATGTGCAGTATTTGTGTATTAAGCATGTGTATTAGATAATTGCATTGTTTCATGGAACGAATACTTATGTGTGTGCTACAAGAACAACCTGTTCAGTTCCTGATAAATCATAGTCCAATGTATTTACCAATATGCAGTATGAAAAAATACAAACAAAAACAATTATTATTTTCACATCCATATTGAATCTTTAATCAAAGAAAACTGATCAAGGGAACTCATGCGTCAAAGAGATTAACATTATGAATAAGATTAGCATATTTAAAAAATAAATTAGTTTTTGCTGTCGTCTGCACAAGTATTATAAATGAACACATTATGTTAATTGAAATTTACTCCTGCATGTTTTTTTCAACATATACCTTATTAGTTCTATTACGTGTGTATCTCCAAGAAGCGCATGTAATCATTAATTGTATACATATTCGTTTGGCCATTGACGCACTGCTTCAATTTGCTCAAGAAAATTACCAAACATGGTATGCCATTTTCATAGAACAAAACTTACAACGGTTCTTTGAGATACAACTGCAACAAAAAATGTCTATAATGTCCCTGTAATTATGCAGATTAACCATATCCCACAAAAACACCACCTTGACGTTGCCACAAGTATAAAAAGTGATTTAAAATGTATTCCAGATATTGGTGGGAAAAAAATAGAAATGGCCAAAATATTATACAAATTGGGAAATTAATATGCACAGATTTCAACAAATAAAATAATCAGGACAAAAATAATTTCAATGAGTAGTTCTTGAAAATATTAATTAGAACAATCTCAACAAGTTGAACAGATGGCAAATTATCATGCAAACGAGATAGTTAATATGCACAAACTTCAACAAAAAACTAATATAATTTACAACCAACTCATTTACAGGAATTGGGGTGCGCTACTTATTGCAACAGTGATATGACTTTGTATGTGCACCGAGGACAGGAACATCATACTGGTGGATCCATGAGATTTCATTTGGGAATTTCAATTTTTTTTGCGGGCTGAGGGGGGGGGGGGGGCTAAACCCGTGTGTGGCTGTACATGCCATCTAATAGGATGCAATTTTCAAAACATCCAATGCTTTGAGCCTGGCAATTTGTGTGTGTGTGTAGTATGGGAATGAAGAACACAAACACATCATGAGAGTCGGCAAGAGGTATTTTCGTAAGCTGTCATCAATTGTTTTTAAATAATTTAAGTAATTTAAATAAAAAAGAAAATATAAATTCGTAGACATGGGCAAGGTGTAAATTGTAATCAGATATTTTATTCGTCCGTAATTTGTACAAAGATCTTATTTTTTGTAAGCGTATAAAGCATTTTCCACATTAAATGTCGTAATTCGTATGCAATTTCCAATTTTGATTCTTAAGCACAAATTATCAAATGTAAAATGGAATTCGTGATTTTCTTTATATTTAAAGTGTAAAAAACCTATGGAACTTTTATTTCATTTCCTGTAAAACGTAAAATACCGTTTTTATTTCCTGTAACCTGTACCAGCTAAACCCCCCCCCCCCCCATCATGGATCAAGTCACAATGGTTTGGTTTCATAGAACAGGAAGTTAGAGTAAAAACAGCCTCCTTGTCAAGAACTAAGTGAAACTTTGCATCTCACCTCTAATCACCCGGACATACAAACTAAAAAAATTGCAACGCTTACTTACCCTTTACTTTCAAGTAGTTGTCATTAATGGCCTCTTGATGGCGCTATACAGGAGCATAGGCCTATCAACTGCCCTCACAGGCAATCTTCACTGAACATGTTTTATTAAAATATGATAATCACCACCACCACTCGCTGGATTTCATTTGTCAAAACATGCGTTTAATGTTAAAAGTTTGGTCATAGAAACAGCTGGAGTATCGACCATCACGCAGCAGAGGTCGATGCGCAGCGTACTGTCTGAGTGCATACTATGAGGTATTCTCGTAATAGCCTTATTATTTATTATACATCTTTTCCTTCTAAGGATACATCATGGAAATGCTGAAATCAAAAAAAGTTTAGAACAGAATCAGCGAACTTCTTTGTGTAGAGTCCGGTCCAACCCTGATGGCAGCCATTGCTTGTTTTTTATTATTAAAAGACCCTTACGCGCATAATCATTCCATATTTGGAATTCACATTTCCTTATATGGTAGGATGAAAATACCCTGTAAAATACTGCAAAATTACGGCACGCTGTAACTTATGGCGTTACAGTGACAGATGTATAATAACAGTTTTTATGATTTAGTATTATATGCTACAAACTGCATCTGGCATTCTTTGATATCCGGTAGTGGTCAATAAGTTATGTAACGACAGTAATTTTTAATGCATACCTCAGCCGAACCCCAATCAAGCACAAAGTACAGACATGATATACTGCGTATATCCATAAATGATATGTCACACCTTTGACGCCTGTGTGCGAAACACACAATGTGAGTCTTTTCAGTTAGTGCGCCTGTGTGTCAGTTATTATCAGATTTTAATGAAACTTGGTAAATTGATGCTCTGGGATAATGCTCAGACCCGATTAGTTTTTTTGTTGGAATCTGTGCATATTATTTAGCTAATTTTACGCATTTTCACTTGTTCCTCATGTGCTATTCAACAGATTTCAATGAAACTTGGTGCACAGATGCCCTGGGATATGGTGCAGACCTGATTAATTTTTGGTCGAAATCATGTGCATATTAATGACCTTATTTGCATATTAATTAGCTCATTTTAAGTCTTTCCACTTTTTTTCTCAAGTACCATTTAACAGATTTTAATGAAACTTGGTACACAGAAGCCCTGGGATAGTGTGCAGTTTTGGGTTGAAATTATGCATATTAATGAACTAATTTGCATATTATTCAGCCAATATTTAGTTTTTCTCAACCACTCATAATATTCAATGAAACTTGGTATGCAGATACATGTTCAGTTCAGAGTTAAATTGTTTGCTTCCTGATTACCTAATTTGCATAAATCAACCAATTTATAGGGGCTCCATAGATACCAATCATCAAATTGTCATGAAACTGGGTACATAGTTGAAGTAAATATTAATTACCAACTTTAATCGTATAAATAGTTTCATTTTTCCTTCTTAATATGCACAACTGTAATGTACTTAGCACTGCTGTAGACATGTAACAAGTGATATAAGGCATCTGACAATTTTTCAGATGACTATATCTGGTCATGTGACCTCAATAATATGCGTAACTGTAATATCTGTTGCAGATAGGGACATGCAGCTGGTGCTATAATTTTGTTCTCTGGCAAGATAAATCATAGCTACTTGGAACTACACTGATCGCTTATATATTTTAAAATGCTGTATTTTCTCTATTAGAAGCATGTGTGCTAACTGTAAATATATGTGATATATTTTAATGAATTTTTGCTTTGTGTTTTGAAGATGTGCTTCTAATATAGTAAATACAGTATTCCTTATTTGTACTTCATGCATGCCTCTAATACCAAAAGCACACAGGAGTTCTTTCAAAGCTTTCTTTGATTTTTGTCAATACAGTGTCTATTCAGGAATTCAAGAACACAAGCATATAAAAAATCTGGTTTATTTAAAAGAGAAGCTTGTAAAGGAATCTTGTACAGTAATCTGTCAATCACATATTTTTAACATCACAACAGCGCCCTCAATGCCCATGTTTTGGTCTATGTCCATTTCCAACTTAACAGCGCTCTCAAGGTCCATGATTTGGTCTATGTCCACTTTCAAGATTATAACAGTGCCTTCAAGGTCCATAATTTGGTCTATGTCCATATAAATTTCACAGATATAGTCACGCGACACAGTATCAGCTATCGGGAATCGCTTTAAGTTAGAGTGACCAGTGATGAAAAACACAATAGTAAAAGTGAAATGTCCCCTTGCTGTAGCGTTCTGTATTATCAGTCTTATCGATTGCTACCAATCATCGCAGGACTGCTAGCGAGTGCAGCATCACATATTATCAACTACAGAAGCTTGTTACCACACTACTAGTATGTAGATATCATATCAGTTGTTACCAATCAGCAGCACTGTTGGCGAGGTAATCTTTTCGTCCAATATTACTTGCTTGTTTACTCTGCATTGCTTCCAATCGTGGACATTCAGTGATACGATGACCAAGACCACCACAAAATGAACAGCCTCTTTCCTCTGCACAGAGATAACAAATTATCAATTATGGTACTCAATAGTAAATACTGTAAAATACTTTAATTTCGCTTGGAATTAATTTTCACTATTTTCGCTGAAGGAATGATTCAGAGAAAATAAAATACTTTTTTTTCCCTATATTTTACATTCAACTTGTTAAAAATCAGTGAAAATAAATATCAAACAAAACACACAAAAACTCTTTTCAGAGAAAATTTATTCCAGCTAAAATAATGTATTTTACTGTAATTCAAATGATATGTGGTTTCATGGCCAGGCAAAAAAGTTCAATTTTCAAGTATAAAAAAACATCTTGTGAATAAAAATGAATTGATGCACATATGATCATGACATTTTATTTGTAATTGTTACTGATAACACTTGATGACCTGTGGCCATGATATGAAAAGACCCCCTAACAATGTTATTATAAAATTTATATTCATGACCAATTGACTCTTACCTCCCATATTAAGATAGTCTTCGTTATCTCTCTGTAACACCATTAACACATTGGGTACATTCTGTTTGGCTTCTAACAATAAATGCTTCAAGTCTAGTAACACAGACTCATCTACAGGAACAATACATATAAAATCAATATACTACTTTTCCAACTATTAGAATGCCATCAGTACAAAATACAGGAAATAAAATAAAATAAAATAAAATAAAATAATGTTACAGTAAACAGTAAATGTAATTTTTGGTTCATTTAAGCTTCTACATCTATTACAACAAATATAGTATTTCTCCAAAACTTATTTAACCTAATCTTAGGTGTAAATTCTTATTTTGTATCAATTATTGTAAAGCAAATTACAATTGCCATCACCATGGTGATAAACCAAGTCAATTAATGTAAAGCAAATTACAATTGTCATCACCATGGTGATAAACCAAGTCAATTAATGCAAAACAAATTACAATTGTCATCACCATGGTGATAAACCAAGTCAATTAATGCAAAACAAATTACAATTGTCATCACCATGGTGATGTGAAAATTCATATTCTGTTGTTGAGGAAGTAATGGGCATGAAGGAATGGACAGGTGTATCAACATTCTCATTTCTGCACTGTAATCTTTCAATGGTTGAGTTGTTGACATATTTACACACCAAATACTGTAATTTATATACTGACCACATGCTTTGTTGATGAACGTTGTAGCAATACCTGTTTTACCACATCGACCAGTACGTCCAATTCGATGAACTGCAAAACACAGATCACTGGTTAGATAAATATTTAAAAATACCAAATTCTTGAGATCATTAACATCCTGTGAAAAAATGTAAACAAATTGGGTGAATTGAATATAACTTACCGTAATTTTCTATGTCCTCGGGCATGTCGTAATTTATGACATGTTGAATATCTGGGAAATCTAAACCTTTTGATGCAACATCAGTAGCTACTAAGACATCTTTTATAGCTTTCCTGAACTGATCTATCGCTCTTGTACGTTCTTCTTGATCTGCAAGTATTGGATGGATACAAAGTTACACAACTATAGTAGAATAGAATAGAATAGAATAGAATAGAATAGAATAGAATAGAATAGAATAGAATAGAATAGAATAGAATAGAATAGAATAGAATAGAATAGGAGAGGATAGAATAGAATTACCATGGTTACGTTGGAATAGTATCGGTAATCGGTGACGATGAAAGAGAATGTAACATTGTATGAAGTTAAAAACAAATCTTATGGCTTTCTCTCACAAAATCACTGTGGGTTGATAAAC